CCCAGGACATCCCAGTGCATAACCAACACCGTGGAATGACCCCCTCCCGGCTCTCAGCCCCCCAGGCTGTGCTGCTGTCCCTACCTCGGGCAGTTGGCTCCAGGTGACCTGCGCAGGGCGGTAGCTCTGCACCACGATGGCGGCGCCCAGAGGGGACGGCTCCTCTGGGACAGGCTCCTCCAGCAAGTCCTCGTCTGACTCATGGCTGACAGAGTTCAGCCCTCTCTCACGGATCTCCTGATACAGCCGGGGCTCTGAGGAGGAGACACGAGGTCAGCCCAGCAGCCCCTCCCAGCCATGGCTTCCCTTCCCTTGCCCTGTTGGCCACGAGCCACCAGCGCCGGCGAGCCCGGGGCCAGGAACTCCCTGATGAGGTTGGACTTTGCACTGCAGTGATTACCCAGCGGCTCCTGCTCCCAAGAGCCTCCCACAGCTCTCCCCCTTTTCCCTGGGAGCCATCCAGCTGAGCTCTGGTTAACTGGATAACTGAGCCCCAGTTATCTGCCCTGGGGTGGGAAAGCAGGGCAGCAATGCTCCTCTGGCTTGGGGGAAACAGGGACAAAAAGCCAGGGCCTCGGGTCACGGATGGGGAGCAGCACAGAGGGAGAAGGAGGCTGGGGCTGAGGGATTGGAGCACTCACGGTCCTTGAATGAGCYGCCACGCTTCTGCACCCGCTTCCTCCCAAGGGTTCTCTGTGGGGGCAAGAGGAGAGCTGGCTGTGGCCACCACACTGGGAAAGATCCCTCAGGAGAAGGGCGAGTTTCCTGTGCCAGCCAGCCCACACCAGCCCGTTCTTTTTGTCTGAGCTCTGTTTGCCTTACCCAGGTGACTCAGCTTTCACCTCCYGCAATCAGGGTCACGCTCACAACCACACTGTACCCACAGCGCTGCTGTCAAATCGCTCTGGCACCTGGACTTTGCCTGCTCTGGAGTCTCGCTTTCCCCAGAGCTGCTTCTCCCATGTTTGTGTACGACTGGAGCCGCTCTSCAGGCCCGCCCCGCCCTGCAAACACCTCACAGTGCCTGCCAAGTGCCTCAGAGTAGCCAGCTCCATTGCCCACAAAAGCCATGCCAGCTATTCCCTTCAGGGACCCACAGCACCTGCTGGTGACACTGACCTTCCCAAGGCATCGGGCTCAGCAAACCAGCTCCAAAACGCACCAGAGCTGTGGTTCTGTCACCACCAGSACAGCAGGACCCCATCCCCATGTGACAGGGGTGACAGCGGGTGCTAAACCCACCTTGCTCCTGCCGGGGCTGCGGTCAGGCAGGGCACTGCCATCCTCGGACACGGGCTTCAGTGACGGGGTGGCCTTTGGTGGCTCCAGCTCTGCACCCAGGCCCTTCATGGCCGCACGGTAGGACATGTTCCTCAGGTTGCGTTTGAGGGCCCCTCCGCCATCATCCTCATCCTCSGCCTCCAGTGACAGGATGGGGACAGCCGTCCGTGCCGTGTCCGGGCTCAGGGGCTCRCGGCTGGCCCCGAAACTCTGGTGCCGGGAGGGGCTGTTCTTGGGCTTGGAGGACACGGCCAAGCTTTTGGGGATGAGCTGCTGCGTGCCCACCTTGAGCGCAGCCGGGCTCTCCGTGCTCAGGATGATGCGCCGGGGCTCGGCCGAGGTTGGGGACGCCAGAGGGGACAGCGGGGTGGCACTGGGAGCTGCGGTGGAGCCATGCTTGCCGTGGGGACAGGTCGGGCTGGGGGGCTCTGGACGCACCGGGTGGCATCGGTACTCCAGGAGCAAGGTCTTGTCATCCGCTGAGGGGCTCCGAGACATGGTGGAGGAAGCAGCAGGCTGAGCAAGACAGACAGACAGACAGACAGASAGGTGAGCAAGCAGCAGGAACTCATGCTGAGCCACAGGAACCTTGGGACAGTGCAGGACTCGGCCTCTGCCTGCCCAGGCTGCTCCACAGGCAGGGTCTGTAGGGTAGGGACACGCTCGGGATGCTGTCACCAGCCGTGGGGACACCTGTGTGACAGGGCCAGGACAGGGGCTACAGGACAGGGTCAGGACAGGGCTGGGGACTCTGGGATAGGGTTGGGGGCTCCAGGACAGGGCTGGGGGCTCCAGGACAAGGCTGGGCTATGTGGTCCAGGACAGGACTGAGGGTTTCAGGACAGTGTCAGGCTGAGGGCTCCAGGACAAGGCTGGGGGCTCCAGGACAGGACCGGGCTGGGGGCTCCAGAACAGGGCTGGGGGCTCCAGGACAGGGCTGAGGGCTCCAGAACAGGGCCAGGATGGTGGGGACTCCAGGACAGGTCAGGCTGGGGGCTCCAGGACATGGCTGGGCTGGCAGATCCAGGACATGGCCAGCACCAGGAGCAGCCGGGCACTGGGAGCAGCCGGGCACCGGGAGCAGCCGGGCACCGGGAGCAGCCGGGCCACGCCGCAGGCATCAGGCAAGCTCAGACCTGAGCAGAACAGGCCTGGAGCCTCACCAAACCCCGCTGCTGCCGCCACACCTCCGTGTGACCCCTTATTCCCCTTTGGGGTGCTGCCAGCCACCACAGCCAGCCTGTGCCCTCCTGAATTCCACCTCCCCCAGGCTGTGGAATCCCCGGTGGTGGTGGCAGCACCTGCCTGTGAACCCTGAGCTCTTCCAAGCTCGTACCTGTCCCAAACCGTGCTTGAAGCCGCCCACAAAACCATCTGCCCCAGTCCCTGGGGCTYCTCAGCCGAGTTTAAGGTCACTGATCCCCTCCTGTGCCACCCACGGAACTCTGCCCCTACAGAACAGAGTGAGCGTTTTGTGCCCTCTGCCTGTTACATAACCCCAGGAGGAGTTATGGTTTAGTTCTCAGCTGAAATCCCACTGTGCCATTCCCAAGCTGTTCCCTTTCAAACACCAGGGAACAAACCGAGGCCGGAGCGAGCTTTTCCCTGCATGAATGACTGGCAGGAGGACAGCGCAGACCCATCAACAACAGCTCATTTGACAGAGATGCTGCTCGTTCCTCTGCCCTTGGATTCGGGACACACACTCTGTGACCAGAGGTCTGCCAAATGTCCCGCGGACGAGGAAAGCGCYGCATTCCGCTCTTAACCCCATCCTGGCCGAGGATGAAGCTTATCCTAAATCCCTGTAGCAATAAACAGGCCTGAATTCGGAGGCTCTGAGCGCTGCAGCACCCACAGCTCTCGGCGCTGGGGTGGATGGAGGGAGGCTCGGTGGTCACACAGGACATCCACCCGCCGTGTCACTGCCCTCGGCGACACAGGGACACAGCCACCGTAACACGGAGCCTCCATCCCTGCGCGCCCAGGGCTCCAAATGTGCTGCGAGCACGGCGGGATACAGCCCTAGGATGAGCACGGCGGGATACAGCCCTGGGATGGACCCAAACCCCTGTGGGATGGACCCAAACCCCTGTGGGATGGACCCAAACCCCCGTGGGATGGACCCAAACCCCCGTGGGATGGACCCAAACCCCTGTGGGATGGACCCAAACCCCTCTGGGATGGACCCAAACCCCCGTGGGATGGACC